CTGATATAGAAGCTGCAGCAAGTTATCCAGATCTGTCCAAGAAAAACAACAGACTATCAATGTGGACAAACAACCTTATATTAGAAGATGCCATCTAGGACTTCCATAGCTAGAGAGAAGTCAATACTCAAAGCTTCAAAGAATGGTCCGACTCTCATGTTAAAGGATAATACAGCTGGGAATATAAAGTTGAAGCCAGTGCTCATTTGTCATTCCAAATATCCTGGGGCCCTTAAGAATTATGCTAAATCTACTCTACCTATGTTTTGTAAATGGAACAACAAAGCCTGAATGACAGCACATCTGTTTACAACATGGTTTACTGAATATTTTAAGCCTACTTCGAGACCTATGGCTTAGAAAAAAATGTCTTTCAAAATATTACTGCTCATTGACAATGTGCCTGGCCACCCAAGAGCTCTGATGGAGATGTACAACAAGATTAGTGTTGTTTTCATGCCTCCTAGCATGGCATTTATTCTGCAGCCCATGGATCAGAAGTAGTTTTTACTTTCAAGTCTTATTATTTAAAAACTCCATTCCATAGGGCTATCATTACTATAGACAGTGATTCCTCTGGTAGATCCAAGTAAATTGAAAACCTGGAAATAAGTCACCATTTTAGATGCCATTAAGAACACTCATGGTTCACGGGAAGAGATCAAAACATCAACATTACCAGAAGTTTAGAAGAAGTTGATTCCAACCCTCATGGATGACTTTGAGGGATTCTCCACTGTGGAGAAACAACTTCAGTGGAGAAATAACTGCAGATGTGGTGGAACCAGCAAGAGAACCAGAATTAGAAGTGGAGCCTGGCGATGTGACTAAATTGCTGCAATCTCGTGATAAAACTTTAACCAAAGAGTTGCTTCTTATGCATGAACAAAGGTGCTTGGAAGATTATTGAAATGACAGAGGATTTAGAATGTTACATAAACTTAGTCGATAAAGCAGAAACAAGTTTGAGAGGATTGACTCCAATTTTGAAAAAAATTCTAGAATGGGTAAAATGTGATGAAACAGCATCACATGCTACAGAGAAATCCTTCATAAAAATATGAATCTGTAGACTCCACCAAAAAACTACTCAACCTAATAAGTGAATTTGGCAAAACAGTGGGATACAAAGTCAATATTCAGAAATCAAAGACATTTTTGTAAACCAGCAATGAAATAGAAGAAGAAATCAGAAAAAAAAAATACCGTTCGATATAGCAACAAGAAAAATAAAGTACCTAGGAATAAACATAACCAAGGAGGTAAAAGACCTGTACGCAGAAAACTATACAACAGTGAAAAAAGAAATTAAGGAAGACACAAATAAATGGAAGCATATACCATACTCATGGATTGGAAGAATTAATATCATCAAAATGTCTATACTACTCAAAGCAATTTATAGATTCAATGCAGTCCCTATTAAAATACCAATGACATATTTCACAGAAGTAGAACAGACATTTCAAAAATTTATATGGAACCATAAACGACCCTGAATAGCCGCAGCAATTTTGAGAAAGAAAAACAAAGTAGGAGGGATCACAATACTGGACATCAAACTATATGACAAAGTCACTATACTCAAAACAATCTGGTACTGGCACAAGAACAGACCCATAGACCAGTGGAACAGACTAGAAAGCCCAGAAATAAGCCCAGGTCTATATGGGTAACTAATATTTGACAAAAGGGGCAAAAGCATAAAGTGGAGCAATAACAGCCTCTTCAATGAATGGTGTTGGGAGAGCTGGGCAGCTACATGCAAAAAATTGAAATTGGATCTTCAGCTGACACCATACACAAAACTCATACTCAAGATGGATAAAAGACTTAAATATAAGTCGCAACACCATCAAAGTCCTAGAGGAGAACATAGGCAGGAAACTCTCAGCTATCCCACACAGCAATTTTTTCACTGATATGTCTCCTAAAGCAAGGGACATAAAGGAAAGAATAAACAAGTGGGACCTCATCAAAATAAGAAGCTTCTGCACAGCTGAAGAAAACATCAGCAAAATGAAAAGGGAGCCAACCCTATGGGAAAATATATTTGCTAACGATACATCAGATAGAGGTTTGATCTCCAAAATATATAAAGAACTCACATGACTCCACTCCAAGAAGACAAATGATCCAATCAAAAAATGGGCAAAGGACCTGGGCAGACACTTTTCCAAGGAAGAGACAAAGGGCCCAGAGACATCTGAAAGGATGATTGGCATCACTAGCCATCAGAGAAATACAGATCAAAACCATAATGAGATACCACATCACACCGGTCAGAATGGCCGTCATAAACAGATCAACAAACAAACAACAGGTGCTGGCGAGGCTGTGGAGAAAAGGGAACCCTAGTCCACTGTTGGTGGGAATGCAGACTGGTGCAGCCACTGTGGAAAGCAGTGTGGAATTTTATCAAAAAGCTGAAAATGCAAATGCCTTTTGATCCAGTGATTAGGGGAATATACCCTAAGAGTCCCTGTGGGGACTATACCCTAAGAATCCCAAAACGCCAATACAAAAGAACCTATGCACCCCAATGTTCATAGCAGCACAATTTATAATAGCCAAGTGCTGGAAGCAACCTAAATGCCCATCAGTAGAAGATTGGATCAAAAAACTATGGTACATTTTACACAATGAAATACTACGTAGCAGAAAGAAAAAAAGAACAACTACCCTTCGTGACAGCATAGGTGGAACCAGAGAGCATTATGCTAAGCGAAATAAGCCAGGAGGCGAAAGACAAATACCATATGATCTCACCTATAAGTGGAACCTAACCAACAAAACAAAGATGCAAGGAAAATAAAATCAGCAACACTGAAAAAAAGAAAAAAGAAACCAACAGAGACAAGAGGGAAGGAGGGAGGGGTGGGTGGGGGAAAAGGAAGGGAAGTGGAAAGTCAAGGAACATATAGCAAGGACTCATGGACAAAGCCAAAGTGGAGAAAGATTAAAGGAGGGCGGGGGGAGGGGGACAGGGGAAAGTGGTGGGGGGAAGGCGGAGACAAATGTTTTGAAAAAATAAATAAATTAATTAAAAAATATTGAAAAACAATTCCAAAGGTCAAAGACAAGGAGAGAATCTTAAAAGCAGCAAGAGAAAAAGAGTTAGTTACTTACAGGGGATTTCCCATAAGACTGTCAGCTGATTTCTCAAAAGAAATTTTGCAGGCTAAAAGGGATTGGCAAGACATATTCAAAGTCATGAAAAGCAGGGACCAACAGCCAAGATTGCTCCACCCAGCAAAGATGTCATTTAGACTCGAAAGGCAGATAAAGACTTCCCTGACAAGAAAAAACTAGAGGAGTTCGTCATCACTAAACCATTATTATATGAAATGTTAAGTGGACTTATTTAAGAAAAAGAAGATCAAAACCAGAAACAATAAATGTCGTTAAATACATATCTATCAAAAATTTTATCTAAAAAACAAAGTAAACAACAAGAAGGGACAGAATGATGGATACAGAGAACATTTTGATGGCTGCCAGGTGGGAGGTGGGTGAGAGGATTAAGAAATACAAATAGATAGTTACAGAATAGCCGTAGAATGTACAGTACAGGACATAGAGTAGCCCAAGAACCTGTATGCATGACCCATGGATATGAACAATGGTGTAGTGATTGCCTGATGGAGCACGGGGTGCTTGGTGGTGAGGGACAAGGGGTAAAATTGGGACAACTGTAATAGCATAATCAATAAAATGTAATTAAAAAAATATGAATCAATTGATGTGGGAAACTTGATTGTTGTCTTATTTTAAGAATTGCCACGCCTCCCCGACTTTCAGCAACCACCCTTGATCAGCCTTCAACATCAAGGCAAGACCCTCCACCAGCAAAAGTATTAAATTCACCAAAAGCTCAGATAATGTCTGGAATTTTTTAGCAATAATATATTTTTAATTAGGTTATATACATTTTTAAGACATAGTGCTTTTCAGTACTTAATAGGCTATAGTATAGTGTAAACATAACTTTTACAAGCACGGGGACACCAAAAAATTCATGTGACTCACATTATTGTATTGGTGGCCTGGAACCAAAACTGCAGTATCTCTAAGATATGCCTGTAGATTAGTAAAGTTTCATCATCCTCATTCAGTGGATGAAAAATAGGCTCAGAGACTTTTACTAACTTGGTTATCACGACAGCTTGGAGGTGGTTAATTTGAACCTAACTCCTAGTCCTGCAATCATTCTATATCATGCTGCCTCTACGTTAGAGCTGAAAGGATTGTTTCAGAAATGTCTCTGGATGGAGTCTAGGGGATCCTTACTAAATCTGAATTCTGGGTATACAGATACCTTTTTTTTTTTTTTTAAAAGGAAATTCTCTAACTTACATAAAAGTAAAAAACTAGTATAATGATACCCTACGTAATGATCACTCAGCTTCAACTATTATTGACAACTTACAGAATTGTTATCTGAGGCCTAAGGACTGACCAGATGAGGCACAGGTAGAAAGGACTCTGCTTTCTAGAGCATAACAGAGCTCATGGAAGCGAGAAGGCCTCAGAAGGCAGAGCTGGGTGTGTCATCAGCTGACCTGAAAGACCATGAACTGGAAATATCTGGAATAGACTGTGATTTAAACTCAAATCTAAATAACCAAATAATGTAATTTACCAAATCTGTATCATGTCTGAATTCCAGGGTTTCCTCATACACAGAGAGTATTTTGAAGTAACCCAGGGTATCTATGATAAAATGGAGCCACAGAGAGCAAGTGAATATGGGTGAGGCCACACCACACCATGCCTAACTTCTCTGCTGCCCAGTGACACCCTTAGCTGGCACTCTGCCCACCAACTTTACATCATTTTTCTTGAGCAAGAACATTCCATGTTTTATCTTTAAAATCTTTACTTAGTAAAATGTAAAAAATGAAAGGTATTAGGAAAATTCCAACAGTAATTTAATAAGTTACAGTTGCATTAACTTTAACTTTTTTTCAAAAATAATTTATACAAACTTTATTTCTTACCAGCATTTTGTTTCTTTGTTGTGTATGTGACTCTGAACTTCCAGATGAGATGCTGAAATAAAATAAGAGTTAAAATTCTAACGTTTTATTTCAGAAGCTTACACACTCATACACACACATACACACCCCCCATAAAATAGATTTTTATAATGGAACATCGAACATAAATCTCCTAAAGTATTTCCTCCAAATGTCAATTTTTGAACATTTCCAAAGGAAATCAAAAGTATGGAATGTAAACTGTACTCAAAGAAGATAAAATAGTCTTTAAAGGTTCTCTTGAGAATAAGCAGTCTGAACAGTACAATCTGTTCTGTAAACCTGCAAAATCTCTTATTTCCACTAAAAAAAGAAGTGGAGGGAGGGAGGCACATCATTCCATGAAACAGCAGACTTGAGGAATTCTTTGTCTCCTACACTGTGTCTTAATAAATTTCCCCCTTTCTTTCCTCCCTCTCCCTCTTGGATCATTTGCAATAGTTTCTAAACTTGCTGTTGAGTTTTGCTTCTTGAACCCTCTTAACCCTTTAGTTTCTGCTTCATTACTCCCACCCCCTTTATAAAAACTGTATGCTCACTGTTTCCATTTCCTTTTCTCCTAATGTTTGTTAAAGCCACTTCATTCAGATTGTCACAGTTAGCAATCCACAGAAATTGCACTGTTCATCACTCCATCACTCCCTCCTTCTGTCTTTGCTTGGCTCCAGGACATCCTAAGCTCCCAGATTTCTTTCCTGTGCCGGTTGCTGCTCCTCAGTCTCCTTTGATGGCCCTTTCCCATCTCCCTGAGCATTCAGGGTTGGCAGGCTCCAGGGCTTCCTCTGTTCTCTAGTCACTTTCACTCACTGGGTGATCTCATTCAACCTCTTGGTTTTAAATATCATCAATATGCTGATCACTCCGGAACAGATATCTTTAGGCAAGCCTTCTTCTGTGAATTCCAGATTCACTCATTCAATTGCCTTCATGACATCTCTTACCTTATTTCTGAGATAACAATAGATATCTTAATTTTAACATTTCCAAAACCCAGTTCCTGATTCCCACTCCAAAATCTTCTCGACTTACAGTCTTCTCCATCTCAGTTGATGATGCCATTGCTCAGGCTAACACCTGGACTCCTGTTTTTGTCTCAGAACCCATATCCAATCCATCAGGGAATTTTTGGTTCTCCATCAAAATATGTCTAGTAGCTGATCGCTCTCCCCAACTTCAATGTTAACAAGGGTGTTAACAAGCTGCCATCCATCAGCTCTTGCCTGAATTGTTGCATTAATCTCCTAAATAGCTGCTTCTACCTTCGCCCCTACATTCTGTTTTCAATACATCAATCATAAGAAAAATCATTGCATTCCAATGCTCAAAATCCTCCAAAGAGAGATCTCATGTCACTCAGAATAAAATCCAAAGTTCCCATAATGGCTTACAAGGTCCTACCAATGTCTGTGCCGTTCACCCTTCCCTTCCACCGCAGGGCTCCCTCCCGTCCCTCCGGACCCTCCCCCTTGCAACTCCATCTCTGAATTCATGGCATATTCTTCTTCTGAATCCCCCCTCTCCAAGTCACACTGGCCTCCTCACTCTTTTCCAACCACCTCACAGAGACTCCCATCTCAAGTCCCTCTGCCAGAAATACTGTCTCCACACTGGCCCACTGATTTTTTCCCACTTCCTTCCTGTTCGCTCAAATATCACTTTCTCAGTGAGGCCTACCAAATGCACCTCACTGAAAATTGAACTCCCTCTCACCTATTCATCCTCATCACCTTGCTTATTTTTCTATGAAATACTTACAGCCTTTACACACACTATATAATTTGTTTATTACATTTATTATGTCTCTGGTCTACTGAAAATGTGAACTTGAAGACAGAAAATCTTTCTGTTATTATTTTTGTTACTTTATCCTTTGCATCTTGATGAAGGCTGGGAAGATCAACAAATATTTGTTGAATGAATTAATGTATAAATGGATGATTTAATAAACCTCAAATCTTAATGAGTCTCATTCTACTGTTGCCAGCTGTCTACTGTCTACTGTAAGACCAGTAAGTCTTGCTTTATAATTCAGGGGTCCTTTTATTATTTTCTATCCTACTATCTCCCTAACAAATGTATTATTTTATTTCCATATTTCTCTCCATTCATCACACTTTTCAAAAAAACTGAAATTCATTTAAAAATGTTCACAAAGTAATCAGTGACTACTGAACACAATTAATGAAATTCCCACTTAGTGGAAAGACACACCGGGGTTCTGAGAGGTTTAATTGCTTTTCTTGCATCATACCTAAATCAATAAAACCCAGTATTTCTGTGCTTTCTATTCGACAGTAAGTCTTTATCATGAAATGGAAAACAACCTTTTGGTTATCACAGTTCTTCCTGGGCAATACAGTGAATGGAATGACCTTTATAGTCTGGCCCCTCTTACCTTCTGACTAATTTTATTTTCTCTCAGAGCATCTCACAAAACTAACATTTTCACTCTACTCAGTATTTCCAGAGTGTGTGTTTATCCTTTTCTTAAAAAGGATATCTTTTTTTTCTGACTAGAATGCTCATGCTCCCTTCTCTGCTTGTCAAAACCTTTCCCATCTCTCATGCTATGACTCAAATGCTGCCTCTTTGATCCTACCAATCAGAAGTACTTCTTGCCTCTGTAATTTTTGGATACCTGCCCTTTATATCCCTTATTACATTTCCCGATATATATAATTATTTGTCCACCTATGATTTTGTGTTTCTCAGTGACACTCTCATAGGACTATAAGGAGTCTCTCTTATTTATTTTTTTAGCCACCAATGACATGCCACACAAGAAATTACATTCTGTCACAAAATTAAGCAAAACAAAACATTGTGAATACAATACCCCTATGTACATATTCAGATATGCCACAAATATACAAGCAAAAACTACAAAAACCACCTTCTTTTATCAATGCCTGAAACAAAACTACTGATTTAAAAGTGAGGGAGTTTTGGCTGCCTGACAAAAATATTTAAAGGTCATGAGTCATGGCCTCAGAATATCCATAGCAACCCAGCGTACACAATACAGGTCATGTTGTACCATAATTAAGGGGAAAAAAACAGCTTTATAAAGCCTATTAGACTGAGCAAAAACAAATTAGAACAAATGTATTTATGAAGCTTTTTGTTTTATTGCAACTTTTTCTTCAGGGTTCATGGGAAAACAACAAAATTGTTTAAATTTTTATCAGCAAGGTATAATAACATGACATACCAGCAAGCCTTGTAGTTATTTTTTTCCTCTGTGCTTGACAAGAACATAAACATCTCCTTCCTTTGAAGTGAAATCTTTCTATCTGTTCTCTGAACTTTTTATCTTATGTTTTTAATGCTGGATTGAAGTGGTACTCAGTTACCAATTAGTCCATGTGAATAAATGATTTTAATAAAATTTAGAAATTACAACTACTGACAACCCAACTTTTATAGGAAAGAATTTCCCAAGAAAATGTTTTTTACTCCCTAGGTTAATTGAATCCCAGGCCTATGCTCCCTTAGACAGCATAGGAGCAAGTTCTCATTTGGTTTATATGAACTATGGAGAAGGCCTGTTTCAAGGGCATGCAGAGAGAGGAAGAAGGAAAGAAAGTAGAGCAGGCAAGAAGATAATGGGACCAGTTTATTCCTGCCTAGGAGTGAAGGAGCCAAACTGAACCCACCTAAAGGTTAACCAAGGTAGCAGGTCCTCTGTCTCCTACCTCATAACCCTGCTCTCTCCTTGCATAGAACACTGAACTCCATATACCCGGAAAACAAAGACACCAATGATAATTTGAAGTGAGAGCAAAGTCCCACTTTCCACTTGGCTTCCCTGCTGGTTGTACACTGGGCTATTCATTTCAAAGTTTTTAATCACAAGGTATTTTTCTTCCATTTGGAACCATGATGTTCACCTCTCCAATTATCAGGACATTGACATATTATCTCTTTAGGTGCTGTGTTCAGGGAAATTTAAAGAAAGTAAGTGTTTGCTAAATTTTGTTTTCTTTAACAGACAAAATTTTCTCCCACCCAAAGCTTGTTAATTTTTTGAGGTTCATGGGCTCTTTTGCACATGGCAACAACATTTCACATAAAATTGGGGATGATTTGTGAATCTCCCACATCACCCACAGACCACAGACCCAAGCTTAAAAGCAAATGAAAACTAGGCCCATACATTTTGTGCAATGAATAATGTCCTTTAAAGCTTAGCAAAGCAGAACTATGGTTACATGTGAACATATCACACATGTGAACATATCACACACACACACACCCCCGCCCCCAGGATCCAGGTGTCATCCAAGGTTTATGAGAAAATTCTAAATGGAAGGTGTTTCCAAAATTTGGAGGGGAAATGAGTATTATGCCAACATGAAAATTTTCTGGTGGTTAATCATAGATTAATTATAAAGGTTAACTGTGCTTCCATATTTGGAGCTAGAGTTGTTTAGATTTTTATTTGGGGAGTATTGGCACGGCTGGTCTTCTTCTGAGGGCGTCTCTTGATGAGAGATCAGGGAAGGTAACATTTCCTCACAGGGGCTCTTAAAAAGGCCTGACTCAGCTACCCCCTTCTCTCTCCCCCACACGCCCCTCCCCACACCAGTAGAGTGGTTGGGGTAAGGTTGTGATTTTGAGAAGAGCAAGTGAGAGACAGCTTATTCACTTAACAAATATTTGTTGAACACCTGCTATGTGCTCAGGTCCTGCCCTGTGATCTGGGAAGACAGCGTATTCCAGGAAAGGATGAAAAGTCTCTGATGTTTCCCCCCAGATTTTACAGAAAAGTTCTCCTTGAAGTGCTGAACAAAGGCTACTTTGTCTAAAAATTTCCACGAATTCTTTTGTGAAAGGAGGATCTGTGGACTCACCTGCTTCTCTCTGGGGTTTCAGGCGCTGGGGCCACAGATTTCCTGCCATAACACTGTCCCATCTCAACTCAGAACAACTGGGAAACCCTGCCTATGCGACAGACATCAACTTTCCCACTCCTTAGAGTTTTAGAATCTCTTTAGTGAGCTGCTGTCCTAT